TAGTTGAGTACATCCAGTCCGATCCAGTAGTTAAGGTTGTTGAAGTACCATCCCAACCAACTGTGCAATATGTACAAGTGCCTGGTGAGCCGCAAATACAATTTGTTCCAAGCAAAGCTGTGGTCAAACACGTTTATCGGAAGCCAAAAAAACCACCTTTGGTTAAAAAAGTCCATGTAAGACGCATTCCAAAATCCGATACCACTTTAAAAGCTGCAATAGAATACGCTCCTACTCCGCCGAGTGTTCCGATAGTTGAATTTCCAGTTGATGGTGTGTTAGAATATCAAATGCCTGACAATAAAGCTGTTCCGGCTTCAGAAAATAACCAGTTAGCTATTGAAGGGTCAAAAGCCGTGGCCGTCAAACCAAAAACCGTAAACAAGCTCAGTCGAAAGGAAAAAGATCAGCAACTTGCTATTGAAGGGTCGAAAACCGTGGCAATTAAGCCGAAAACTTCCAACAAGCTCCAAAAAGTAAGACCAAAACCTAAGGAAAGGGCAGCAATTGCCACTGGTTCTCAAAGATTAGCAATCGAACCCCGCGGGAAAGAGCAGACAGCTATTACCGATGCAGTGGCGTTAAAAGCTTTAACATATAAACCTGAAAGTTCAAGTCACACCAAAACCCAATTGAGAAAACGTAATAAAACTTCAGAACCTCCCGCTAAAAGACACAAAGGGGGTACACAAAGAGGCGGGTGGCTCTCCTACACATGATGAAGCCCACTTTAGATGATTTGTATTTGAATCCTGCTTCTCAGGGTAGTTTAGGTGGCATAGACCGCTTGTACAAAGAAGCTAGAAAACATGGATATACACGAAAGCAAGTTAAAGCTTACTTAGAAACCAAAGATGCATATACACAGCACAAACCCTTTCGCTCTAAGTTCAAGCGTCGAAAGATTATTTCTGTTAATGTGGGCGACCAACATCAAATTGATCTTGTGGATTTTCAGAAGTTTGCAAATTATAACGATGGCTTTAAGTATATTCTTATGTGCATCGACTGCTTTTCTCGTTATGCATGGGCTGAGCCGGTTAAATCAAAACGACCAGCTGATATTCGCGAAGCACTTTTAAAAATATACAAGAGTGATTATCCTCCATTACGTGTTCAGAGCGATAATGGTAAGGAATTTGTTAGTAAAGACATGCGTAAGTTTTTTGAAGAGTGTAACGTTACATTTTTTACAACAAAAACGATGACGTCAAATGTGCGATGGTTGAACGTCTAAATCGCACAATCGAAGAGCGGTTATATGTCTTCATGACCGAAAACAATACATACCGGTTCATAGATGTCCTTCCCAAGATTTTATCCGCTTACAACTCTACAAAACACTCGGCTACAGGTATAGCCCCTAAAGATGTAGGGCCTGAGGAAGCTGAGCAAATTCTCCAGAAGATGATTGATCAACAGAAAGATATGAAAAATTCAAAACCAGCATTTGCTGTTGGCGATCATGTACGTTTGGCAAAAAAGAAACAGACTTTTGAAAAAGGGTACGAGACTCGTTTCACAGAAGAAATCTTCAAAATAACCCACACTACGCGGAGTAGGAGCCATTACCTTTACACTGTCGAAGATTTAGCTGGCGAACCCGTGGATGGTAAGTTTTATCCGGAAGAGTTATCTAAAGTCACCATGGAAGAAAGGCCATATCATAAGATCTCCAGGATATTAAGGGAAAGGAGACATAAAGGAAAAGTACAATACTTAGTACGTTGGTATGGATATGGTCCAGCTTATGACTCTTGGGAAAACAAAGAAGATTTGAAATGAGTTTTTACATGACTTTGCCGTCTTCGGCGTCAGAGGGCTTATACTCTGAAAACTGCCCTGGTAAATTTACAACGCTTCTCGCTAGACCCATAGATTTATACGGTGCGTGGGAAGTTGGTCTTTCAGAAATTATTCTACCCCCTATGCGGATAAAGTTTAATACCGGATTAGCCATTACTGTCTCGCGTGACGGTCTACCGTCTAGATTTACTAGATTTGTCGATGTACATGCTTTTGAGGATGAAAATCATTTACTTCATACGGGTAACAAACTGTTGAGGGAAGACGTAGAGGATAGGGACTCGAAAACCTTTGGTCAAATAATGGTCAGTGGTCAAGCAGCTCAGTTAAACATCGCACCAGGCCTCGCTTTGACTTTTACGGGCTCTGAATATGCGCGTGCGTTAGGCATACTACACCAGTACACTTATAACAGCAGAGATGCCCTGACTCATATGTTATATCCGGGACAGCATAATCGTCTCGTGCACGTGTATTGTGACGTGATTACACATGGGTTGGTAGGTGATTCAATGGTACCTTTACTACGCACCTTATCAACTCAAGCGAATTCATTTCGAGAGACAGTAATTCGTTTCGAGAATCCGCATTATATGCCGTTAGCCTACCATACATTTCAAACCATAGAAATAGCGTTGCGCGATGATTTAGGGAAAGAAGTACTCTTTCATCCAGGTACATCAGTAATTAAACTTCACTTTCGACCAAAGAAGCATTAAAAATGGTTCTACAAGAGTTAAAATTTGACGAGCACCGCTACACCCAGATTTTTACCAAGCAGCATGGGTACGGTATGCCATATTATCGTGGCGCACCCATGAAAGGTGGTAGTTTTTGGGGTCGCGTGATTGGCTTTGCAAAGGGTTTGTTCAGCAAAGCTGCACCACATATAAACAATTTAATTGCCACTGCACAACCTCACATGAAAACAATGGCCAGCAAAGCTGTGGAATCCGTAATCGATAAAGCTGTTGAGCGTGTTAGCGAGAAATTACGCAACACGGCTCAACAACAGGGGTCGGGTATTAAGGGTCGTCGTCGAAAGAGAATGATCAAAACCACGAAACGTCAACGCGCAATAGACGCTATAAAAGACAAACTGTAACGATGGCTCTTATTGAAGCTGGCTCAGAACCCTCCATGCTGTTGGAAAGTCACTTGTTTTATCTTCCAGCTACGCTAACGGAAAGGTGGAATACACATGACTATGACCTGGGGCCGTCTCAAGCCGTAACCGACGATCAAACGATATTGTATTTACAATTTCACCGTGTCAAACCGAGCTGATCAGCTTAGCTGACATTAGATTTTCATGTGATTTACACGTTACTAACTCTTCTGGTGCTGTTCCAACAGACAAAGACTGTCTTGCCCCGATTAACAATATTTTGCATAGTTTATTCCAGTCAGTTACGGTTTCACTGGGTGGTCGCAATATAACCGATAACAGCCCTTTGTACCACATTCGAGCGTACATTGAATCCCTCTTGGGTTTCACTGTTCAGGCTCAGAACAGTCAGCTGACCCTGTGCGGATTTGCGTTAGATACTGACCTTGACAAAGACCCGTTATACACAAATGAAATAAACGGGTCAGCAACGTTTCATAGTGAAGGAGCTGAAACGCGCAGAACATGGTTACAGACTTTTCGTCCGTTGCAGTTGTCTGGTAAACTACACTGCGATCTGTTTCAGCAAGACCGACCGCTAATTCCAGGTGTAGAGTTGAGCATTAAACTGATACGAAACAGAGCTAATCTTTGTTTTCTTGCTGATAGTGATCTAGCGGCTCCAAAAAATTTTGCTATTCGAAACCCCAAGCTGAAAGTTCGAAAGTATGAGCCTTCTCCAGACTTTTTAGCAGCCATGACTAAACAACTAGTCACAACTAATGCAAAATATCATATTGAACGGGTCGCTTTGAGACAGACAACAATGCAATCTGGTCAGCAGCAGCTATCTTGGGCAAATATTGTTATTGGCCAGTTACCCAAAGTTATGTTCTTCGCGATGTCGCCCAATCGCTCATTTGTTGGCGAATTTAAATCGACACCATTCAATTTTCATCATTTCAACATATCTAATTTAAGTGCGGAAATTGATGGACAGCTTTTTCCTACGCGCGGGTATAACCTAGATTTCCAGAACGGCGCGTCAATTGAGGGATACGAAGGATTGTTAGATACTCTTGAGCGGCTGCATGAAGGCCACGGGGAATTACCTTTTGATAGGACGGTATTTAACAAGGGTGGTTTTAATATCTTCGGGTTTGATTTCACTCGCGGCCACACGGGTAGAGGAGCATTGTCGTTGATAAGGCAGGGTAATTTAAATATCAATGTTAAATTTGCAAAACCGCTACCAGAAGGTATAGTCTGTGTAGCTATGATGGTCTTCGATAATATTATCGAAATTAACAACAATCGCCAAGTACTTTTTGACTTCGCACCATGAACAGCCTACAAATAGAAACAGCGCTGAAGCAAGATCCCAACGTTCGCGATATTTTTGTTGGGGTATTCGCCAGCGATACATTACCAGTAAAAGAATTTCCAGGTGCATACATATCAAATACTCAACCGTCAGGCGCGGCGGGTGAACACTGGGTAGCATTTTATTGTACAAAACCCGATACGATAGAAGTTTTTGATTCATACGGGAAAAATCCCGGAGACTATTCAGATGACATTAAAAAATGGATAAATGATGACTTTGTCATAATGTCAAACACTGAACGCCAAAACACTGACAGTACTGTATGCGGTCAATATTGTATGTTTTTTGTTTTACTGCGTTGCTACGGGTTTTTATATAAAGATGTCATGTCAGCTCTCACTAAGCATAAAGGGGTGAACGATAAATTTGTATGCAAATTCATCAACAAGTTCTTCCGACTAAGGACAGTAGTCCGTGACGCAACATTTATACGCGACCTTATAAAAAATGGTTAAGCCGATAGCTAAAAAAGCAGCATCAGTATTCTTTGCAGTACTGGTGACCATGCTGCTGTTAGTTTTCAATACTTTAGAAATTGTTTCCTATTTTGTAAAGTCCTTCAACCGTACACAGTTGGAGGAATCTAAAAAAATCACGAAAGAAGTGTTGGATGTGATGGTGAGTGACGAAGCGACACAAACCGAGTGATTTTTCCCCTTTCTTTTATTCATTTTCCCCACCACCACCACCACCTTTTTTCTATCGCGTGCCAAAGGGCAGCGTTGTGAAATCATCTAACATGATGCGTTTATCGTACACAAGCTTCAACTTTTTAGCCAATTGAACAGTATTAATTTCTTGCGTTTTTCCATTCCGCTTGATGTATTCCGGATACACAACCTGCACATGTTCGTCCACACCTTCCAGCAGTCGCTTCAGCTGGTTGAAATCCAACGCCTTGCCGGTCCTTGTTAGCTCCTTCGTAACCGAGTCCCAATCCAGAATATCTTCCGTGAACCCGTTCTGCGTCATCCCCTTCACTTTCATTTCAATGCGTCCCGTATCTGTTTCGTAGCTGTAGACTTTCGGACCGCAGGAGACGAATTTGACAATATGGTTTTCGCCAGCTTCCAGTTGGTTATCCCAGTCACCAAGGATACTACCAGTTTCAGGGAGCCAGTCGCCGGGGCGGTGAACGAAAATCACAGAGTCCGTATCGTAGTAGAGAAGTCGCTCACCTAACTTTTCCATGAGGTCCAACAGAATGAGACGGGCATGGCTCGTGGTGAAAGCGGCAACAACAACATTCGTTCCATTGCCACCTTCGTTGTAGTCATCCACTTTCGAATGTGTTACCATCAGACATGTTGGACTCACACCATACACATCATGAATCTCAATAGCTTTTGAACGACACAGATCAGAATATCGTTTGGGGTCGTACACGAATTCCGTGGAATTCATATCGCAGCTCTGGCCAGTCTTACCCCAAAGACTGTTCAGCGCGACTTTGGAGGTGCTCTTCCTTCCGGCATCAAAAACCATGGCGTCAGGGTCCAGGATGATACCTTCACGGTCTTTGACCATCTGAATGAAATTTGCCTTCTTCTCGTCCGTATCGCACCACGCAGGCCAACCGCTTGCTTCCATTTTCACTTTCAGAAACTTATTCATGTACGCCGCAAAGAGTTTGGTGTCGGTCTGCGCCCAGTGCCAGACTTCGTACATTTCGACAACCCGGTACCCCACATCCACCGCATGATGTAGCTCAGGCGTGCACCAGATCCCTTCAAAAGACCGTTCTTCATCGGAATGGACACAGCGGCTGGTCACTTTCTCCATTGCGCATTTTTTGCATAGAACAAACATCAGTTTGTCGTTGATCGTCAACGGTAAGACTGGATACAGGCATTCATCCGGTGCAGCGACTTTACAGTAAACAAGCCCGAAATAATCTTTGACATCCTTGAAATTGGATATGATTATTTCAGGTTGACCAACTGGATGCGCCTTCGTTTTGTTCACAAAGGGGTAGAGGCTGACAACGTCAAAGTGTCTAATTTCTTCCCCATGCTTTACTTCGTAAAACAGACGGCTGGCATTTGTCCTCCCTCCCTTGAAGGCATCACGTGGATTCATTGGCTCTCGAATGTTCGTGTGCTGCAAAAATCCGGCAATAAATGGATCTTCCCGTTCTTTGAGCCACTCGCAACCCCATTTCACTTCCACAGTGTACCCCTGGCTCTCGAGGAAACGCTCACGTTCTAGATACTCTTCGTAGACTTCTCGCATTTTTTTCTTGGAGTACGGGACCACATCGTTTTCGTCGGTGCAAGCGGGATGCCCATGGAAAACACAGCCATTGTACTCGTAAACGGTTTGGGTTTCCTCGTCGAGGCCGTCTACAAAGTATCGACCAATCTTGACTTCTTTTCCGTTTCGACCATGGCGTATGCGCCCATTAGCACTCATGTTCTCCCATTCTAACCATTGAGCGGCTTGGATACTGGTGCGCCGGTTTCTGTGAGGACCATGACTGGCTAAGGCGGCGACTTTATTTTCTGGAAGGTGAAATGTTTTCCAGTAACGATAGCAGGCGGCAGGCATGGTTATGCTTTCCATGGGATTCAGCGAAGTGAGCGTACGGTAGTCGTTGATAAACTTCAACGCACAGAGCCGCAAGACCGTAACATCGTTCGAGCAATACGTCATCATTTGCTCGCGAAAATTGAATACTCCATTAGCGGCGGCTTTTGCTTCAGCGTGCCACTTGAGGAACTCCGCTTTTTGCTGCTTTCGCATCCCATCAATCATATACTGATCCGGCTCAGGCCAAGGTAAATCGACTTTATCCCAGTTCTCGGGCTTATTAAACCGATGAGGGAAATCACCTTTCTGCACTTCAAGCTCCAAACCAACCGCCTTCGGTTGTTGACTCAACCGCAGTGCCAGAAAGTTGAGTGTATCTCGGGATTTGATGCCCAGTTTGCGGTACTTCAGTTCCAGCAGTTGCGTACCCCGTTTGATGACCTCCACCCCTTTCAATCCATTATCCAACATATACTTCAGGACAAAATGCCCATCGCAGCCCCGAAAATTGTGCGCGATAATGGTAAACCCACGATGCTTCTCTTGAAGCAACCAACGACCAAAAGCATCACCAACTTCCGTATTCATCGGCTGACCGTCTTCTGGAAAGCGGACCTCAGAACCGTCGGCATACTGCGCCACAATACACGAGGGTACGTGTCCGTTCACAGGATCATTGTAGGTTTCGTAGTCGAAGAAAATATATTTCACATCTTCATCGCCAAGCCAGGGTGTTGTTGGCGCTTTCAGTGGCTTTATATAGCAACAATGGTTGGCTTGGAGGAAATAGCCGTAGCATGTGTTGCAGTAAATTTCACCACACTGATGCTTTGCGTCTTTACCACGAGGGGAAAGATTCACAAACACTCCGCATTTCTGGCAGATGAACATGGTCTGGCAGTAGGTCTTCCCGTTTTTCCTTATTCTTTTATGGATGTCGAAACACTGCTGGTTGAGAAAGCGGCGGTGACAGTCAGTGCAGTTGACGGGATTATCCACCAGACAATTGCTCTTGGCACGGTAGCACAATCTACACTTGCCTCCGCAGCGGTGTCGTTCTTTATGATGGTACGGTCGATCGCAATCATTGCAGAAGTAGGGGGAGCAGTAGAACCCAGTAGCCGTGGTGACAAGGTTAAAATGCTCATTGTCCAGCAACAGAAAATTTCACTGCATATCATGGGTTTTACGCTCTGGTACCCGTGCAATAATCATATCACCCTGGTTGGCTGAAATGACTTTGATTTGGAACTCTGGGAAGGCTTCCTTCTGCAACACTTCCAGGTCATCAAGGTCACAGTAACGGCCCGGGGGTAGAAGACACTCTTCCATTATCTTCACAGCTTGGTCTTCCAGATTGGCTGTGCGGTCAGAGCGTATATAGTTGTTCCATTTATTTTTATGCTGCGGCACTTGTAAATCATGCGTCAGGCGAAATTTTCCCAGAAACAGAGCGGCAGGTAAGCATAGGTTATTGTTCACACGGACGGATACAATGGATGTCTTGAAACGATTCTTGTCGTGCTTAACGTACTGATGTGCGAGAAACCAGGATCCACCAGCTGGCATAATAGAGCGCCAGATACGTATGGTGAATGAATCGTCAATGACCAACTTCTGCCCAGAGTTCAGCAGCTCAATACGATGCAAAAACGCGGGTATGCTGAAGTCAGAGAGCTTCCGCATCGTCAAGTAGAACGCTCTTTCGAGACCGTCGGATTTGAGTGCCACAACAACACGGTCCGTAGGAGCAAACTCTTTAAAACACATATCCATTATGACGCGTAAGATTTCTGGCATAATAAGCATGGTCTCTTCCTTTTGGAAAATTCGTGGTAGGGGGGCAATTTCAACACGGTACTTTTGTTCGGTACTGTTGAAAGTTTTGAAAACGCGCTCCGATTCTTTGACAAGCTGGAAGAGGCCTGTAAAATCCGGGAGCGACTCATCCCTGGCTACACTTCCGCCAGCTTGTGGTGGTGGATCCTCATACTGCCAGTCATCCATGTGCGCAAGAGCAAGGGCGGCAGCTAGGGAATCAGGACTTAACTGATTTACCTCGTCGTGATGTAGTAAGGCGGTCACGAGAGTCTGCTCATCATGTTCATTGAATTCATTGGGATTAGCTAGCATATGGTTGATGGCGGCCTGATCCTCAGTGGTTAAGCGATACGTATTAGCATCATCATCAACATCCATCCACGGATCGTTAAGCATAGCCGCGATAGCCTCATGATCAGAAGCGGACAACTGGTAAGCCATTTTCGAAAAAATGAAAAGAAAACACGTGCCGCGTGGCTTTTATAGGCGAGATGAGAAAGCGTAGATTACACTCATTGGTTTGTCGTTTTCTGCAATGTGACGTAATTGGTCAGCAGTGTTTCTAGGCCACACCTTTGGGCGTTCCAGTGGGCGCGAGTGGATACTTACCGGCGCTAGCAGCGCCGGTAAGTAACCACTCCCCCTTTCATGTTTAAACGTGAAAAATGTATGACGATAATTGTATGTTTTTGATAAATTACCTATTAGACACACCGAAAAAGCGCAGCGTTGTATTATTAAGCTACATCATAACGGCCCAGGCAGTATGATTCCGTCACCCCATCATAATGATACATATCATAAGACACAGTTGAATGGAAATGCTGATAACTGATACAGCAAAAACATGAGCATGCATTATCGAAAAAAACGCGTTTTGCAATAACAGTAAACTAAATTCAACTAGCAAATATAGGTCATAAAAAACAAGAAACAACATTCAAAAACGATACGGGCCGAGAAAAAAATGCACTGATGGAACCATTTTTTAATCAATAGTAATCACCTCGATCTCCTGCTTCTTCGTTGGCGGTTCGTTGTTGTCGTCGTCGTCGTCGTCGTCGTCGCTGTCCACCTCCGAATGACCACGCTTCTCGCCACTGACGTACGCAATCAGCTCCTCTCGTTCAGCCAAGTCAAGTTCCTCCAGCAGCAAAGTAGCCTCCAGCTCGTCCTCAGTTTCCGGCACGAATTCGCTCTCCACGTCTGATGGTGGGTCGTCAAAAGTGTCGTCAGCTAGGACGGCCACGCCTCCTTCGTCGTTCTCGTCGCCAACGTCACTGTCAGCTTCGTCCGAATCGTGCTCCAAGAAACCAGAGTCCATAGAGTTGTCAGGATCAGCCTTTATACGATTATTGTAGAAGTCGACAAGGTCGATCTACCAAAAAATATTTCAAATAAACGATGTGCGACAACTAATATCGAAAAAAACCAAACGTATTATTGCTGTACTATTTACTGGAGTGAAAACCATTACACTACATACAATCGCAATAAAACTTTTGCAATGGCTTTGAATCATTTGATATCTAAAAACTCTAATTGCTTATTAAAAACTATCATATTTTTGATTTATTTACTAACTGCTAAAAAACCGAAGGCGCTTACCTTAAACCAAGACACCCGATAAAACGCAGCAAGTCCTCCTTCACAACAGACCAACCACGAGAGTTCATTCCACAGAAGGACAGCTTCAATGTATGAGTGGAAGTACGTCAGGATTTTCTCGGCAAGAGTATAACCTTTCCATTCCGCAATCAGGTTATCCGCTTTCTCTACGGAAAAAAATTTTTCTAGTCTCGATGAATTGTTAAAAAACTTCTTGAATTTTATCGAAATACAGAATAATAGGTTATAATACCGTATAAAAACGCTACGGCAAGACCAAATTGAAAAGAAGTAGTATTTAAAGGTGCGAAAGTAGATTAAAAAATAATCATGATCCAAAAAATTGTCATTGACTTACCAATCAATCCCGGAAGCTCCTCTGAAGTTGTGGGCATAGGATCCGGCAAAGCCATGAGTACACTCACAATCACACGATAATCACACACACACACACACACACACAAACTATTCTGACCAAAATGATGTAACAGCAGAAAATGATGGATTTGCTTGAAAAACAGGGGTTTATATTCACCGCGTGCAACTTGGAAGATTTTTTCGACTGACTCCTATTGGTTAGAACGATCCATGTGCCGTTTTTCTCCAGTGCAGTCGTGCTACCCTGAAGGTTGTATGAATAAAGACAACCCCAGTTCTTTACTAGACCAAGAAATACCAGTAAAGGGGCTGCTCGGTCCCGTAGGCAGCCATTCCCTTTAGTAATAGGTGGAAACATACGGTGGGTGGAGAGTACGATGGAAAATTCTTACTTATCAAAGAGCCAAGGCAGAACCATTGTTAGAACCCGGAAAAACCGTGCCCCATTAGGTTTTCTTGGACAATGAAAACTAGATTAATGTCGCGACAAAGCCCGAATTTCAGAGACTGAGAAAAGACCAAATGAAAGGCAGTTTGTCCCAGAAAAACAAGTTGTAATTAGTTTTACTCACAAAAGATTCTAGACACTGTCGCGACTAATCTCGGATACATGATACGTAACAGGGTACCTCAATAAGACGCTTAAAACAAAGACGAGCCAGTTTTGAATAATAGAATCTAGTCTGCTGTCGCGACAAGATCCGGGATTAACGGTGGATCAACAAGTCGCTTGACCCAGAAAAACAAGACACAATGGATGTTTTCCTCAGAACTCTGACAATTGTTCTGCAAAGCCTCTCGTACCTTCTTCATCTTATGGAATCTCCCGACACCATAAACAGGAGGCGTGAGTTTGCAACGTTAGTTAGGAGTAAGGCAGGACCCGAGTAACGCCTACTTGGTTTCTCTCTGATATTAGCGTGTTCCAGTCACTTATTGTTCTGAAAGTTGCATTTCATTGTTTTCATTCTGTGATTGCTGTTCTAGTCATTCTTGTCAAGTGGTATCTTGAGTTGATAAGTTGGGCCATACCCACACCTGGCTTCGGTCTGATATTAGCAAATTCCGGTCACTCATTGTTCCAAGGATGGATTTTGGTTGGTTCTTGGTCTAAACTGAAAAAATCAGCCTAGTCAACGCGCTCTGTTAACATTACGTCAGCGTACAACGAATTCAGACAATAGATCGTACGGTTTGTGGACATCAAAAGTTGAAACTCCATGTTATTTCGGGTTATATAAGCAGCGCGATCAAGCATTTTTTCTTCATTCCAACAGTTTTCTTATTCCTTCTGGATTATTACCGCCTGGATCAGTTGGATTCGTTAGTTTGTTGGATCGTTTACAGTTACTTTTACGGTACGTTCTTTACCAGTTCAGTTTTACTAGCTTTCAGTTAGTGCTGTGACCTTTCACGATGTCTACCCGATCCGAATCCGCTTCTTCCAATTCCTCCTGGGAGTCCGTGTCCGTTGATGATGTTGCCATTGCTGATGTTGCTGATGTTGTCGATGTTATGGAGGATTATCCCGGGTTGGAGTTGGAGGATCCGTTGAGTCAGTTTGCTGAAGAAGCCGTGGAGGTGGATAGGTTCGTTTGGTTGTGGAACCAGGGGACTTATGAAGAGCGGGTTGCGTATGCTGATCAAGCTGCTGGTAAGTAGGATTTGCAAAATATTGAATAAAGAAATATTTAAAAAAGGTTTCAAAAAACAAGAGATAAAACGTTTCAATTTTTTATAGAAATTATACAGAGAATTCGCCGGGATTTGCTTAACAGTCCGGCCGTTCGGAATCAAGCATGGTATTCGGCAATTAACGGGACATGCCAGCTTTTGGTAAGTTTATTAATTCTTACGATAAGTAAAATTAATTGACATACCATAAACCAGTAAACTGAAATAAAAACAAATTTTTCTATATAAGTTACATTATTTGTTTTCTGTAGGGTGCCTTGCAATTTCTTCGTGATGCCAATGCCATCGTTTTCATTGACCCTCCCCCCACGTATGCCCAGCTATTCCCATTCGTTGCTGAAGCTCCGCCGCCCTACGAGTTGCAGCCCACGTATCCAATCAATTACTCACCCCCACCACCGTTCCCGAACAGCCCTGCATTACCTTCCCCAGGCGACGTCATATTCACTAACATGGATGACGATGTGGAGGAGGAACTAGCCTTTTCCGTGCCGCGGGGACCTGCTACCCCACTGCCGGAGGTAGCTCCGATGGTGTGCAGCCCTCGCTCTCCATCCCCATCCCCAACCCCATCGCTGCCACAACTCGTGGGGTACAGCCCTCGCTCCCCTTCTCCATCGCTGTCACCTGTGTCGATGAATTTGGAGCGACGCCTTTCTAGCCCAGCGCCTCAAAATCGTTGGGCTGTGGATCGTGTGGTCCGAATGCGGGTGCCTCCACCATCTCCGCGACAGCCTTCCAATTCCAACCTGATTCGGCTAACTACTCCTGACCTGTCTCCACTTCGCAGCCGCCCGTCGGTAGGCCGTCACCCACGCCCCCGACGCCGTTCGTCAACTCCACCAACTCCACGCCAGCCTTCCAATTCCAATACGCTCTCGCTGATTACGCCAACCCCAATGCCTAGGTCAGACCCATTCCAATCCCACATTATGAATGCTCCACACCGTCGACGCCGCCGCCCATCAACTCCCCACCATTCGGCGCACGCTGTCTCGCCTGCGACCATTTCGCGGCTGGTTGTCGACGACATCAGTCTGTGTCGCTGCATCCTCGACCCCGATTCGCCAACTATTTTCGATCGAATCCAGCGCATCCAGGACTCGCCGACCGACCACTTCTACGAAGAAATCTACGCTCCGAAGCGTTCGGCTGATCCAGGTAACGATTCGGCTCCTCGCCGCTTCCGCCGCCACTAAACCTTGTCGGATCATTTCACTTTTTTAAAAAAATTCGCCGTATTTTTTTTTGTTTTTTTTGTTTTTTTTTGGTAAGTTCGCTGCAATGTTTTGTCACTTAATAATTTTTTGTTGTTTGCATGGTATAGTATGTACTTTGACACTGGGGCTCTCTGTTTAGTGTCTTTATCGTACAGGTTTAGCCTGAAACTGTATAAATGAACCGTGTTTGCTTTGTACTAGTGCGAATGTTGTGTGTAATCAACTGTGCATGCTTTAGTGTATTGGGATTAGCATTAAACTGTGTTTGTCATCAGTTCTGAGTAAGTTCTGTCTAATTTGTGTCTAGTACAATAGTTTAGCCTGTTTTCAGTGTATGAGCTTATTCAGTGATAGAGCCCAAAACAATTAGGCAAAGTTATTATTCCTAGAAATTATTCTGCATTGAGTAAAGGT